GCTATTACCTAGGCAGAAGCTGAGGTCCCTATACATTTCTGGTTAGGAGTTTACCCACCAAATTTTAAAAGTCAGTTCTCGAATTATAAAGACTAAAACCACTAGATCTTATTGGTTAAAATTAATGTGTGTGTGTGTGTGTGTGTGTGTGTGTGTGTGTGTTGCACACACTACTAACTTAAAGTCCTAACTCAGTCTGGTGGAGTCATTCTGGCTCTGTCAATTAATAGGCTCTTGTTCCCCTAACTCTCTTTCCCTCCTGCCCAGCAAGTACATGCTAGTGCTGTGACAGAGTCAAGGACAGTTCTCTGTGTGCCCAGCCCTAACCCACCCATGAGAAGGAGTGACTTCACACCTCCCCACCCACCTGACCTGGCTTAACTGTTTTCTTTCATTGCAGGGACTCTTGTGCTCCGACCTCGGCCTTCCCAGTAGTGGTCTTGCTTGCAAGCCCCTGTCTGCCCAGAATGGAACCCGGGTCTGTCCCCTCTCCCCTGCTCTCCCCTGCAAAACTCTTGGCTGCTAGTGCACTTAGAGGCACTTCAACCTTTCCAGTGTGCAGTCAGCAGGACCAGGCTCAGGGCTGTTTGGAATGGCTTGACTAGCTTGCTGAGACTTTCCTCGGTCTCCTAAAAATATAGTTTAGGACCTAATATGGAAAGGCAGGCTTTAGGGAAAGGAGGGTTCAGTGAAATGGATACTCAAAAGAAACAAAACAAAACAAAACAAAAAATCCCTCAAGTTCAGAAAATTGGTCTCTTGGGTTTCTCCATTTCCAGCAATTGTTCCCCCATTTAGGGTTCCAAGTTGCTTTTTTTTTTTTTAATATTTTTTCTTTTGTAAACGTGTCCAGGAAGCAACCTGCAAGGTCTCTGCACACATTGCCTCCTGCATTTGGAGAAATAGACAGAACCAAGTATTTCTTTGACTCTCTGCCCCTTTCCTGTTTTCACAGGGCCGAGTTCAGGGCCAGCCGAAATGGGCCTTTGTTGCTCTGGGCTTGCTTGCCAGCTCTGTTGCAGCACAAGGGCGCCATGTTAGCAATCCCAGTGCACATGCTCATTTGGAGTTTGGCTGTCTCCTTTGCAGGCAGACTCAGCAGCTGGAAGGTCTGTCTCTTGACCCTGCAGCTTTCCCTGCTCTCTCCTGTGCCCTATGCCATGAGTCTGTATGTAAGTCCTGACTCATCGCTATAATTGGGTCCTGTACTTCAGAGAGCTGCCTCTATATCCCAGCCCGACCCCTTGCAGCTAGCTCCGTGCTACTGTATTTACTCTAGGTGTGCACAACCCCTTGGGCTTTTGGAAGTGCCAGCCCTGAGCAGCCAGCAGCCTTCCACCCCCTTTTGTGTCTTGACTGCTACGGTGACCCTGACAGAAACAGTCATACCCTGATACATCCTCTCTGTAGTGTTCTGTACCTGAGGAGGTGGTTCAAGGTCCCCCTTGATAATCAGAAGCCAAAGGTACTCAAGCCCCTGAGATAAAGTGATGTGGCATTTACATAATGTCAGCAAATCTGCCTGTGAACGTTAAGTCAGTTCCAGCTTACTCATGATGCCTAATATGTAAATGTTGTGGAATAGCTGGTACACCGTGTTCAGAGAATGACACAGGCAGTCTGTCCATGTTCAGTGCACACTGCTTTCTTTTGTTTTTTGGGGGTTTTTTTGTTTGTTTGTTTGTTTTTTTCAGATATTTTTGATCCTTGGTTGGTTGAACTCAGGAATGCTGAACCCTAGATATGGGGTTGAGCTGTGAGGTACCTGGGTGGCCTGGAACCTAGCTTGGTGACTATGTCCATCTTTTGGCTTTGCTCCAGGTCTTCTTCCAGCATCATCTGAAAAGAAATGACTGAAAAGCAATAACTTCATTCCAGAGATGCTGGGGAAGTTTGTGATTTTTAAAGTCAGAAATTTGTATCATTTATCCTGTAAAATTTGGATTTCCATATGCTCAGTCCCCTGAAAACACAATACCTTATCTTTGGCTTGTTCCTCTAAGCATTGTATTATAGTTACTTAGTTACCATATAGTTACTTAGAACAGGACCGCATGGCATGGTGGCCTTAATGCTGCTGTCTGTTGCTGTTTTCCCAAGGTCTCAAATCTGCCATTTGCTTTCCTCCTGCAGTCCTCCTTTCTATGCAGCGCTGCCTGGCCTGCAGGGAATTTCCGGGTGCGTGTGCTCCCCACCCCTGCCATGCATGCTCCCCGCTGCCTGTTGCACATGCTCTGCCGCCCTGAGCCCCATTTCCTGCCCTCTGGGGAAGCGGCACTTTCTCACAGCTCACCCACTCTTTGTGGTCTTCATGGGTCCCCTTTAGTCAGATCTGGGCTTTCTCTACCCTGACTGCTGACAACAGCTGTCACCCTGTTCCATCTCTCGGAAGAGTTGTTTAAGGTTGTTAGGAAGGAAACAATGACAACATTTACCTATTGTCAAAAAGACAGATGGCTCCAGAATGCGTTGACAGCCGTAACAGACTCTAACCCACGTTGCAATAGTACTTTGGAAATTTCCATATGACTATATAATTTTGGAAATTCCCAGTTTTAAATGTAGTTTCTTACATTCTGCAGAAAACTAGGTTTTCAAAGATGCTGTATTAATAACTGTGACTTTCCACCACATTGCATACTTAGGGGTTAGGTATGTATACATGGCTAGTTTAGCCCCAGTATTCCCTGAAGAAGAATAAGGAAAATTCAGGTGCCTTTAAAGGGGATAGAGTTTGACATTACTGTCTGAGATCTTGTAAACATCTTTCTCTATGATTAATTGCATACAATTTCAAGGTAATCAAACACTGTTTTCTGTGTAGCAACTTCTGAAGAGATATAAAATATCCAACATCAAAACGATAATTACCGTAATGTTTTATTGCAAAGCCACTCCACGAAAGAATAATTGTGTAAACAAGGCGAATGAGGATGCTTTGACTAACTTCAGGGTGTCTGAGTGGCTTGCCAATTTCCAGTCTTGACTGGCAATTCTCGTGTGGAATGTTTTTCAGAATAACAGTTTCCAGTGCTCTCCTGAAATTGCATGCCGACTGACAGCAACTTACTTAAATGTTTCTCTTCTGATTCCTACACCTCTTTGTTCTCTGTGGCTCTCTGAAGAGCTGAAGAGGGTCACGTGGAGCCTGCATGGTGTTTTCCAGAACCTCTCCCTGCACATGTCACTCTTGCTAACCTTACCTTCAGTGTTTCCTTTTAAAAAGAGTGTGTTTCCTGCCCTGATGGTCAGTTCTTGTCTCAGGCGTCGTCCATGCTGGATGAGAGCAGCCTCTATGGGGCTCGGAGGGGAAGCGCCTGTGGTTCCCGAGCTGTAAGGCGCTTTTCATGTTTCCTATCATGCCTCCCTGTGTGCTGCATGACCCAGGGGTGCTTGCTGGATGGTGACTGATGTCACAGGAGGAAATGCTGTCTGTGTTTGCCTTTGTGATAAAGGTCACGGATGATGGAATCAGGAAATCTTTGCTTGTTAATTTCGTGTTCTCACTCATCAGTTGGTACTGGATGATGGAATCAGGAAATCTTTGCTTGTTAATTTCGTGTTCTCACTCATAAGAGACTTAGGTCAGAGACTAGCCTTAGTTGAGTTTCATCTGCTTCAGTCCCTGCAACCCCGAGCAACATTAACAAGTAATAATGAGTTTCTGAGCCTGAGAAAAGGAGAAAGGGGGTGGTTGCACAGACCCCTCAGGGTTGTTTCAACGGTGATGGTCTCACTTTGCAAGACTTGCACCTGTCCCCCTCATGACCCTGAGACAGCCAGTAGTTGTGTGTAGTGACCCAATCTTGACACTGTGGGAGGAGTTTCCACCCATCTTCCTGCTAGGACTGTCTCTAGCAGGAAGTGAGAGCAGAGACAGGCCCTACAAACATTCTCTCCTTCATGGTGGGAGCATCTGTGCTGGCTTGTCCCAATGTCTGTTTCACAGACGACAGCCTTCACGTGGCCAAGGAGATGGAGGTGTGATTACGTTAGCTGCCCGCTGGCCACTTGACTCCTTCCTATACATAGATGACGCCTAGGCCTGGCTTCTCGTCCAAAGGGTCAAGTCAGGCCAGCTGGTCTGAGAAGTGTTCTGACCCAGGAGCCTTGGGTAGGCAGGAAGCAACGTGAGGTACAGTCCCTCCAACCATTGCTAGCGAAGAGCTGGAGTCATTTGTTCACGTGTTCAGCAAGTGTGTCTTAAACGTGCCAGGCCTTATCAGCTCACTGGAGAGTCACTGCAAACTGAATAGATGTGTGCTCTGCTCACTGGGACTGTCTCTCTGGTGGGAAGACAAACCAAGAGATGCTACTTAAGATGGCATCATAAGCATCCCTGAAGATCCAGAGTCCTTACGGTTTACAGTGAAGATGACGCTTGCAAGCCTCTCAGCCGAGTGTTCAGTCTGGCATCTGTCGCAGGGCAGGTGACTGGATACAAACTAAGGTTTAGAGGCTACAGCCCGGTGGCTGTCTTCTTCCGTCATCAGAAGTCAGAAAGCTTGGATGGACAGGTAGACAGGGGCACTCAGAAGACAGGTCCTCCAGTTTCTACCTGGAAAGGTGGCAGAAAAGCAAAACTTCCCTTCAGAAATGCCATCCGCCCCCCCCCCCCAGCTAGTTTCTGACTGAAATGCAGCTGAAGGTGGCTCGGGATTTCACCACTGCCGCCACATTCCCAGGAGGTGAACACAGGAGATGAGATGCATGTACACCCAAGCTGAGTGATGCTCGGTGTTTTCCTGCAGATGCACCCTGTGGATAATACAGTTGTATTTTACTCTTGGTAGATGTTTACCTGACCCTGTGGCAAATGGGGACTCCTTTTCCGAGCCCAGTTTGCTCCCTAACCCTAACCTGTCTTTCCTCTCTGCTGTGTGTGTGGCTAACCTCCACACTAACTGAAGTGTGGTCTTGGTGGCTTTCGTTCTCCTTGCCTCTTTGCTGACCCTGTTCCTTTGTTTCTATCTCTGCAACCTGTGGTGGCTCCGTGGTAGCCCTCAGAGTACAGCAGCCACCTCAACTCCAGCTCACGGGCCTCCTCCAGGGCCAGCTCGGCGCGGGCCAGCCCTGTGGTAAGTCTGCTTCCTGGCCCTGCTGCCCTTCGGCTTCCTTCCTTCCTCCTTCCCCTTTGCCTCCCTGTCCTTTCCCCCTTGTCCACCTCCCTTATCCTTTCTGTCCCTTAGAAAGCCAGTGTCATCAAGGTGAACCTAGAAGCCTCTCATTTTATTTCAGGTCTTAGTAGAAAAAGGGATTGGGAAATGGTATTGAGCTTAGAAAACACTATTGGGTGGTGTCAGGGCGGCATGGCTCAACTTCTCAAGGACCATAACAGAACAGAAGTCATTAGTAATGCTTAGAAATGAGGCGTGATGCGGGGAAAGTCCGTTCTGGGGATGTAAGTGTAGCCACGTGTGTGGATGTGCTATATTTTACAATTTAAAATTTCAAGGGCTTGACTCTTAACATTTGCTTTGAAATTGTTCGGGTTACCTGACCCCCAACAAGTTTTAGAATAAAGTATGGGCCTATAAATGCTTTGCCACACTCAGTTCTGCTTAGGTCACCTGTTGTCACATTTGCTCAAAAACTGTATAGAAGGTGTCACCTAGGTGATGCTCTATTTGTGGTTCACCACATGTCAGACATGGCAGGAGGAGCCAAGGCCCCAAAATCAGGCCCTGCACAGTTTGACAGTGTCACCCAATTGATTGGCAGCTTTCTTTGAGGTTACTTTATCATTATCTAAACAAGAAATTGTTTTATTTTGTTTTGGGGGGCAAGGGGATATCCACTGTCCTCCTTTATTTGCTGCCTGGTTCTTGCTGATTTGACTGAGCTGGCTACTCAGTAAATACCCAGAATTCTCCTGCCTCAGTGCTAGAATTACAGGTGCACACCACCAAGCCGATATATATATATATATATATATTTTTTTAACGTGGGTGCCAGGGATCAAACTCAGATCCTCATCAAGCCTGCATAGCAAATAGTTTACCAAGTGAACCATCTCCCCAGTCCCCTTGTTTGTGTCTCATAGCCCCAGATGGCCTTGAATTCACTATGTAGTTGAAGATAACTTGGAACTCTCAATCCTCCTGCCCCCACCTCCCAAGTGTGTAACACCACAACTGACTAAACAGTTTTGGGTTGGGTGGGGAGACATGCCCAGGCTTTAGCAAGAGGTGTGGGTGGAGGCCCACACTTGGAAAGCCACGGGTGGAAAGTGCAGGTAGTTCAGGCCAATCTCTTTTATCAGCTCACATTAAAACTCCCAGACATAAATACACATAGTTTGGGACTCAGTTCTCCAACACTGCATTGCCCAGGATTAGTCACTGCACCACAGAATGCAGGGGAGCAAAGACACACCACTTACACAGATGCGTTCATTGTGGGGTTTCCTACCTGAAGCAGCTTCCCCTGGGGGAGCCAGTGGGATCCCTTGCAGCTATGAGCCTCTCCGCTGAGTCAGTTCAAGGGCTTAGTGCCCTTCCCCTACCCCATTATGTATCTTTCCTTTAAACTGGAATGGCTATCTTGAGTGCCTCAGGCTCTGAAGTACAATAACACATGCAGTCTACTCCACGAGGAGCCTTCAAGTTACTAGAAACAAAGTGATGGCAATTTAGTGTAGAACTCTCTTCCTCCTGCACAATGATCGAGTGTGCACTTGGGGAGCAAGTGGAGTGTTTGCAACCAAGATAAGTCTATAGCTTTACTTCCAAAGATTCCCAACCTCCCTCCCATTCCACCCCACCCCTGCTGCCCAGGTGGCAAAGCAGGATTATTTGTCCTCACTAGGCGTGGCCCTTGGATTTATGTAAGTATTACCATGAAGTCATGGTATAACAATGTTCATGGTTACTGTGATTGGATGCAGATCCCTTTGTGTGTGTACTTTCTAGAACTTTGGAAATTTTACACACGTGAAACAAGGTTCTTTGTTTGTTTGTTTGTTTGTTTTTCCACAGAGCTTCATTGAACAGCTGTGTAATCTGTGAGGCAAGAGAAGTGATCTCTCTGGAGTGTGGGGCACTCGGGGGTGTAGTCACACACACACACACACACACACACACACACACACACACACCCCTCCCCCCCACCCTTGCTAAGGCCATTGCAGAGATAAAGAGTAGACATTTTTTTCTTCTCTAGTCACCTGTCCATTCGTTGCCCCAAAGGTCCATCGATCATTGTTTCTGTTGTCGCATTTAGTGAGCAAAGGTCAGAGGAAAGATATGTGGAAGGCAGGCTGTCCTCCCGACTCATCCTATCACCTCACTTTCGCCAGGCACCTCCACCCTGATCAAGGAACCTCTATGTGTGGTTCGTAGGTGCGGGAACACCTCTGTAAATGCAGGGCAGTCCCAGGAGATTCTTCTGTCAGTAGGAAGATGACTGGCCTTTGCCAGGGCCCTGGCCCTGACCTCCTCCTCCCTCTCAGGCAGGAAGCCCACAAGTCCACACACGAACGTCTGGGCTTCTTCCCACCAGCAAGCCATACACGCTCACAGACACTTTCTGTTAGCAGCCAGCCCAAATCACACACCCACCCACCCCAGTGTAGTAATAGCCCCAGGACACAGAAAAGCGTTAACACCGACCTAAATCTTGAAAACAGCAGATTTGAGGGCTGACTCCATTTTTTATGCCTCTTTCGGTACCAGGATGCCAGGTTTGGCACCCTCTGCCCTTGGGACAAACAAGGACTACAGTGATCTTCCCTCCCATCTGGTCTCTGGGAGTCACATGGGGCAGGATGTGCAGTAGGACAGGAATTATAAGACAAGGTTCACATGCCGTAGCTCCCACTCCTGGCTTGACAACATGTAGGCTGAGCTGAAGCTGGAAGGAACAGTTTCTTGAAAGGCACAATTTGTTTCTGCTTGGCTGGAGCTGCCTCAGCCACAATGAGACAGTTGTTGGTATCCATATTGGCTCTTGGAAAATCCCCCTGACCTGGTCCTTCACCAGGGGTGAAAAGAAAATACAAAAGCCAGCTGCATTACTCAAGGCTCCACATCTCATCTGTCAGAGCTGAAGAGCAAAAATCACCAGAACAAAGGAATTGATCATTCATTCCCCTTTAAGAACACGAATGTGCCTCCATGTCCATTGACTATTTCAAGAGTCAAGGTTAAAAGCTTGGGGCTCCCAACGATACAATTCTTGGGAAAGCCAAGGGGCATCAGTCCCAATGCAGATGGCAGGTGACCACATTCCTCCTCATTCTAACACTGCCTCCCACTCTCTCTTCCTCACTCCCACAACCCCCAGCCCCTACATCCATTCCGCCTGTCCATCGCCAGTCCTAATTGGTGGTAGCCGTCAACACAGCCTAGAATCACCTGAAAGGGAGTCTCACCTGGGTAATTGTCTTTATCATGTTGGTCTGTGGACACACCGATAAGAGATTCTCTTAATTGCTGTAGGAGGGCCCAGTCCACTGTGGGCGGTACCATCCCTAGACAGCCCTGAGGTTTTTTGTTTTTTGTTTGTTTGGAGTCCTAATTGGTGGTAGCCGTCAACACAGCCTAGAATCACCTGAAAGGGGGTCTCACCTGGGTAATTGTCTTTATCATGTTGGTCTGTGGACACACCTATAAGAGATTCTCTTAATTGCTGTAGGAGGGCCCAGTCCACTGTGGGTGGTACCATCCCTAGATAGCCCTGAGGTTTTTTGTTTTTTGTTTGTTTGTTTGGTTGGTTTTGGTTTTGGTTTTTTGAGACAGGGGTTCTCTGTGGAGCCCTGGCTGACCTGGAACTCGATCCATAAACCAAGCTGGCCTTGAACTCAGCGATA